GTGGGATTTATTCTGGGAATGCAAGGCTGGTACAATATTCACAAATCAATAAATGTGATACATCTCATTAACAAAATGAATGATATAAATAATATCAATAGATGCAGAAAAAGCATTCAACAAAACTCAGCATCCATTTTTGATAAAAACTCTCAGCAAAATGGTAAAAGAGGCCATGCATGACAAACCTAAAGCCAACATCATACTCAATGGACAAAAACGAAATGCATTTCCCTTAAGAACAGGAAGGAACAAGATAGGGATGTTTGCTTTCACCACTCTTAGTCAACATAGTCCTGAAGTCCTAGCCACAGCAAACAGACAAGAAGGAAAAATAAAAGACATCAAAATTGGCTGGTTTGGCGCAGTGGTTAGACTGTCAGCTCTCAGACCAAAGGTTGCATGCAGGTTTGATTCTGGTCAAGGGCACATACCTTGGTTGTGGTTTGTCCCCAGCCCTGATCAGGATGTGCTGGAGACAACAGGTCTATTTGTCCTTCTCATGTCGATATTTCTCTCTCTCTCTCTTTCTCTTTTTCCCTTCCTCCCACTCTATCTGAAGATAAATAAAAAAATGTCCTAGGATGAGTATTAAAAAAAAAAATTGAAAGGAGGAAGTAAAACTGGCATTATTCGATATGAGAGAAAGACATCAATCTGCTGCCTCCTGCACGCCCCCTACTGGGGATGGAGCCTGCAACCCGGGCATGTGCCCAGACTGGGATTCAGAACAGGACCTCTCAGTTCATGGGACCACAATCAACCCACTGAGCCACACCAGCCGGGCAATAGTCAAGCTTCTTGAAAGAAGTTTACACTCCCTGTCACCTCTACCTCCATTCATTTCTCAACTGGCTGCAATTCAGCTTTCATCCCAACTTCTACACTGAATGAATCTGTTTTCACTAATAATAGTAATGGCTGTATAATAGGTAACATTCATGAAACGGCTGTTATGTATCAGCTGCTGTTCTAAGCAGGATTCAAACCCAAGCAGGCTAGCTCCAGAGCTGGAGCTCTCTTACCCTTTACTGTAATATGGTCATACGTTTTCTTTTTTATTTTTTAAATTCTCACCCAAGGACATTTTTCCATTTTTCGTTCAGATAGAGTGGGAGGGACAGAGAGGAAGAGAGAGAGAAACATTGGCGTGAAAGGGACACATCGAGTGTCTGCCACCCGCACAACCCAACCAGGGCCGGGGACAAACTGCAACCAAGGTACATGCCCTTAGCGGGAACCGAACCCAGGTCTCTCTAGACCGTAGGCCGATGCTCTAACCATTGAGCAAAACTGGCCAGGGCTGGTCATACATTTTCTTCTGGTTGCAAAAGTCAGTGACATTTTCCAATCCTTGTTTTATTTGATGTTTTATGATATGGAATTGTTCCTATTTAAAATGATCTTCCTTTCTTATTGCCATTTCCCTCAGTTTTCCCTTTTACTTCTGTAGTTGCTTTTTTTCTTTTTTGGTCTTTTGGTCTGCATGGACCAGAATTCTCTTTCATTTCAGTCTATACATCTTCCTTGGGTGATCTCACCTGTTTCCCCAGCTTCATCTAATGGAATTTAGCTGATGATGTCTAATTTTTTAGATTCCTGGAGTTAGCTCCATGAGGACTGATGAATCCATATTTTTCTCCTAAGCTCCTGACTTTGTATCCAGTTCCTACTGAACATCACTTGGATATACGTAGGTAACTCAAATTCAGCATATCCCAATCTTAAATGATCTTCCTTCCTCTGCATGACCTATCTTAGAAAATGACATAATCAACTCTGTAGTCTCCAAAATAAAAATCTACTGTCTCTTATTCCCCCTGGTACACACCAAGTCTTTTTTGAAGCTTTACATGATGTCTCTTGTGCCTTCTTGCTCGGTCTACCTCTGGTCTTGTCCTTTAAATCTCAGTTTAAATGCTGAAAGGTTGACTCTAACCACTTGCATTAAATTTGATATCCTTACTTTATTATTCTCTGTCAGACCTCCTTGTTTGCTCCTTGATGACAATAGTCACCATTGGCAATTATTATTATTATTTTTAACCTCACCCGAGAACATTTTTCCATTTATCTTCAGATAGAGCAGGAGGGAGGGAGAGAGGAAGAGAGAGAGAGAGAAACATCAATGTGAGAGAGACACATCGATTGGTTGACACCCACACGACCCCAACTGGGGCCAGGGATGAACCGCAACCAAGGTACATATCCTTGGCTAGAATCGAACCTGCGACTCTTAGGTCCGTGGGCCAATGCTCTAACCGCTGAGCCAAACCAGACTGGGCACAATTGGCAATTATTTATTTATATATCTACCTCTTTACTAGTTAGTCCCTCCTGCCAGATTATGAGTTTCAGGAAGGCAGAAGCCAAGTTTGTTTTGTTCATGGTTGTATCTCCAACACTTCATATAAACTAGGTACTCAGTAAATAGTTGTGGAATGTTAAATGAATGAATAAATCCTCATCCAAATTCATTTGATTCTACTTTCCATATACCTCTTGAGTTTGCATCTCCTTTACAGGAAAGAATCATGTCTTGCCCAGCTGGTGTGGCTCAGTGGTTGAGCATTGACTCATGAACCAGGAGATCACCAGTTTGATTCCCGGTCAGGGCACGTATCCAGGTTGTGGGCCAAATCTCTAGTGGGGGGCATGGAGGAGGCAGCCAGTTGATGTACTCTCTCATCCATGTCTCTCTCTCTCTCTCCCTCTTCATTCCTCTCTCTAAAAAGCAATAAAGAAAAAAAAAAAGAATCATGTCTTATTGATCTTTGTTTTCCTGACTGCCTAGCACTTGGAAAGTGTTTAACAAATATTTGTTAACTGCGGGTACATAATTATCTAACCAGTAACATAAATATTCAAGGGGTTAAGATAGGTTATTAAATATAAAAAACTGGAAAAATGTCTCCTTTACTTATATCCTGTTTAAGGTGGTGTCCCTTTATTGAATATTTTTTTCTGGTTTAGAGTGCTTTGTAGATACTATCTACTTAATATCAGCATTTATATGAAGTAAAGGACAATGATCATCTTTCCTGTTTTCCAGCTAATGAACAGAAAGTCAGACAGATAAAGCAACTAGCATCTCGCCATTGCCATTTGTTCACACAGCTTCTTTCTTGCTGTGTATGCTTTCTCAGTCTTACTCTTTCCCCCTACGGAATGTCTCCCAACCTTTCTAGAGGCAGGTACAGCTCGAGGAATACTTTTAGACATATTTTCATTGCAGGCCTTACAGTTCTTGTGTGATTTCCATAGCAATAAACCATACTGGTTGTTGGGACAGTCCTGGGAAAGCTCCAAGAACACAGTGTGAGTCTGGCTGCTTCTCAGCCATTGTCTAAACTTTTCTAATTTACTTCTGGCCAGGGCGGTAGGCTGGTGTTTCTTAACTTTTTGGTTTCTTTAATGTTATTTGAAATATCAAAATACTTAGTTTATAAAATACACATTTGTAGTGCGGCTGGTGTGGTGCATGGTTGAGCGTTGACCCAGGCACCAAGAGGTCGCCAGTTGGATTCCTGGTCAGGGCACATGCCCAGGTTGTGGGCCTGATCCCCAGTGGTGGGCGTGCAGGAGGCGGCCAATCAATGTTCTCTCTTATTGATGTTTCTATCTCTCTCTCTCTCTAAAATCAATAAAGAAAAAATATTAGAAAAAAATACACATATGTTTTTGATGCTGCATATGCTTTCAAAATTTGCACATTTCTCCTGTTCCTCCTGCAGGAAAGTCTCATAACTTCTCTCTCCCAAATCCCTGACACAGGAAATGAACAGACACAGAAGGATGCAGATTCTAGACACTGGTTCATTCAGCATTATTCCAACCCTTTCTGGCATATTTTCTTATACTACAGAATCTGGTGGAGAGCCAAAGTTCTTTTCTAGATTTCCTCGAAGGTAAGTCTGAATGTTACCTGGACTGCTTCAAATTCACATGCCCATGTGAGACCTCAGATGCATTAGTAAATGTTGTAGGAATAATAACAGCACTTAGGGGCTGGTGAAGCTTGGGCAGAGGTTCTACTGTCTGGTCCCTGATGACACAGGTCCTGAATGGCAAGTGATAACTTCAGTGGATTTTTTTCTAGTGCAGTACTGTGGTATTTTTGTGATGTTTCTCTTCACTACATAGCATTTAAACTTGATGTCTCTGCTTTCCTAGAAATTCTATAAACTCCCTAAGACCCAGTAATAAATCACTTTCTGCTTTAAACTACTTAGGTTCTGTTTTCTTCTGTAAGAATCCTGATACAGCAGAAAAATGAAATGAATAGATTTATTTCTTTTAAAGCTCCAGTATGAAAGCTTCAGTATATTTATTATAGGTGAGCTCTCTAATTTATTTTAGACAGATTTGTATATATATTTCTCAAGTAGTTCAGGAAAAATTCATTAGCCAAGAGATTTTTGTTTATTGTTTTTAGCACAGAAATTAGGACTCTGTTCATGACCCATTCTTGTATTTAAAATTAATGTTCTTGTGTGAGGAGAAATACTGTTACTTAGAAAGCTTTTCTATTTTTACTAATTGTGAGTCACTGGTCTTTCCCCAAATACATACACTCCCAGAAGATAATCTTTAGCCTCACGAAGCAGTGGCCATTTACCTTTTGGGTCACAGATCCCTTTGGGAACCTGATAAAAGCTTATGGACACCCTACCTCCAAATATACATACAAACATATTCTCATAATCTGCATATGGTATCAGGAGATTTAAGTTAAGGGCTCCTTTGTCCACTCCTTACTCCCTTGATGTTCATTCACTAACCTAAGGCCAAAAATTCCTGTTCTGAAATGAAAGAAGTCTGTTCCCAAAATCAGCATATGACACCTCCTAGGATGAAGGGACAATCTGGTTCAAAACCAGAAAAGTTTTAGAGACATTATTTGCTTTATTTCTTACAATCAGAAGTTTTAAAAATTATCTTTTTCAGTACCAGAAAATGATAAACAACCCATTCCCCCTCCCCACCACAAATATACTCACCGTGTTTTGGGCTAAGAATGGGAAATGGATCTCCTAGTTTCCAGAAGAAATACATAAAAGTAAACCATAAGAGACAGGAAAAAAGCAGTCGCTGTTTATGCACTGAGAAAAAGGAGACAAGTCTGTAAGGTTTAATGGACACGTGCTAAAGAACTTGCTTTACTTAAAATCTATGGGATAATGCTAATTAATATTTGGCTGGCTTGTTCACTTGGCAAATGAGCAATGAAACAACATAATTTTTAGAGAAAGTATCCTTAGCACTTTAAGATAAATTTGGTTGAAATTAAGATGTGGGTTGATGATCTAATAGAAACAGAAACAGAACTGTGGCACAAATAACCTAATCATTCATTCAATATTTACTTTGTGCCAACGTTTTTAAGATACTACGTGCGAGGTGGCCCCAAACAACAGCTACTGAAAGTAATATGGTAATAAAGCTTCCCCAAGCCTCAATCTATGTGCCAACACGAGAGGGTAAAATACTCACAAAGTCGGATGTTGCTCACAATAAAATAGCCAATATAAAAAGGCACCATGAAAACCAGGATCAGCAGAATTACACACAGGTTCATTTTCCAGTGGAAATAACGGGAGCTGAAATGAATGTCAAAGACTATCACTAGGAGGGGAAGAGGACAGCAACTTTCATTCTCTTTAGTCTTCCAAAGGATCTCTTGCTCTTTGAACTCAATACTGAATATATCCCATTTAATTAGTCAACTAGACTGTTACTATCTGCTCATTTAAAGAGATAAAAAACAATAAAGTTCTGAAAAGTATACGTACTCATTTAAAAAATATGTATTTTAGACAGGAAGAGAGAGAGAGATAGAAACATCAATGTGAGAGAGCAGCATGGGTCGGCTGCCTCTTGCATGCCCCCTACTGGAGATCTAGCCTACAACCTGGGCATGTGCCCTGACTGGGAATTGAACCAGGATCTCTCAGTCCATGGGAGGATGCTCTATCCATTGAGCCACGTTGGCTGGGCTATATAATCATCTTAAACTCCTAAATATTTTACTTATTAAAATGAGAATATTAGTGCTCTATTTATATTAATAGGCAATGTATATATATCAACATATACTAATACTGGCACAATGACTATTGTTTCACTTACCAATGGGAATCTTATTCCAATATGAGAATTAAAATAAAAATGTTAATAGTAATATGTGCTATAAAGACTCAGAAATATTTCTTTTGTACCCACAATATAGTTAAACTTCTGATTTGCATGACTTCTTTATTGCATCTAAATTATATTCATTGATTAAAATATTTTAGAATTTTATAACAATTTTATTGAGATGTAATTCACTATTTAAAGTGTACAATTCAAGCCTGCTGGTGTGGCTCAGTGGAACTGAGCATCGTCCCATGGACTGAGAGGTCCTGGTTGGATTCCTGGTCAGGGCACATGCCAGGATTGCAGGATCGATTCCCAGAAGGGGTTCTGCAAGAGGCAGCCAATCCATGTTTGTCTCTTACATTGCTGTTTCTATCTCTTGTTCCCTTTCTCTTGCTCTAAAAAAAAAAAAATCAATAACAACATATTTAAAGTATACAATGCAATGCTTATTAGTATATTCAGAGTAGTGTGACCATCACAATTAATTTTAAACATTTTCATCACTCCACAAGGAAATACTATACCCATTAGCAGTCACTCCTGTTTCCTACCAAGTTCCCCTGTCCTAGGAAATTTTGTTTATATGGATTTGTTATTCTGAACATTTAATATAAATGGAATTGTGCAATATGTGATCTTTTGTGACTGGTTTCTTTCACTTAGTGTACTTTTTTCAAGGTTTATGCATATTATTGCATCTATCAATACTTCATTCCTTTTTATGGCTGGATAATTGTCATTCCATTGTATAGATATACCATACCACATTTTGTTTATCTCTTCATTAGTTGGTAGACATTTGAGTTGTTCTAGTTTTTAGCTACTATAAACAGTGATGCTATGAACATTTGTGTATAGGTGTTTGTGTGATCACGTTTTTATTTGTATTAAATACCTAGGAGTGGAATTGCTGGGTCATATGATAACTCTATATTTAATTTTTAAAGAACTATCACTGTTTTCCAAAGTGGCTGCACCATTTCACATTCTCCCCTGCAGTGTATGAGGGTTCCACTTTTTCCATAGCTTTGTCCATACTTGTTATTGCCTTTTTGATTACAGCCATTCTAGTGGGTGTCAAGTGATATCACATTGTGGTTTCTCTAATCTGATGGCTAAAGATGTTGAGTATCTTTTTATGTGCTTATTGGCCATTTTATCTATTTGGAGAAATGCCTGTTCATATCCTTTGTCCATTTTTCAATTGTGTTATTTGCCTTTTTATTATTGAGTACTAAGAATTTTTTATATATCCTAGACAGAAGTCCCTTATCAGAATGAATTTACAAAAATTCATTCTTGGGATAGCTGTTCACTTTCTTGACAGTGTCTTTTGTTATTTACTTATTTTACATTCGCTTACACTTAGGACTGGTTTCAAAAGGTTAGGTGGTTAAGGGCTTATGAGGATATATAAAATAAAAGATGATAAAATAAACTACAAAGAAATATAAAAGAAAGGAAACACCATTACCTCAAAGTAGAGTCGCTACTGCAAATGGGAAGCCAGAATACACTTCTATCAGTTGATAGTTTGTCTTGGGAACCCTTTGACTTTGGAGGATTTGCATTTCCCTTTCTTTAAACAATTATTTCTGATCATCTCTCTTTAAAGGACAGCCCAGACTACTTTGTTGTTATTCTGAATTATTGAGTGCCATAGTCAAACATAAACTGAATTCTGGGGGAAGGGACAAATAGCATCTGGAAGTTGTGGGCATCTTCCCACTCTGTGCAACGCAGAAATCAATAGGTGAATCCTGTCAGAGCTGCTGGGATTGAGTGAGTCTTTGGAACTCTGCCTACGGGAAGAGACATCTTTGTAAGAGGATATCCTAAGTCTTGGAACAAATCCATATAGGTGTTTAGGTGGGCGCTGTATACCCTTGGGATACTGATGGACCAATCCTATATCTGATTATAGCTATCTAACAGCCTGTGTTTTAGCCTTTCCTCACCTCTCACCTAATTGGATAATCTGAATCCCCTTCCCCCCAATGAACTCTGACCTATAACCTCAGAAAATAGCTCACAGGACTGGGCTCTCCTTAACCATCCATCTTGCTTCTAACCTTTATAAATTTCTGTAGTGACTATCTTATGTAAGACACCATAAAAAGTTATTGTATATAGTTTCTATTAAATGTCAAAATGTTATGAAAACATATATAACAAAAAGAAAAACAAGAGTAAAAGACAGGTAAACTATCAGTCCAGGCCTGATGGTTATCGTGGAAATACACACCATAGAGTTCTAGAAAGTTGCTAGGAATAGGCCATACATTTAGATTTAAATTTATTAAAGGTTGACTTGAAATAGAAAATTTGATCAGTTAGATAAATCATAATGTCTGTAAAAACACAAACCAATTGCCTAAAGGAAGCATAATTATTACTGAATTATTATCAAAATCATAATGAAATTTCTCCAAAGACTTCATAAAGAAGAAAATGTGAGGGCAATTAACAATGTCATTAACAACATCCTTTCAAGAGAAACATCAATGAGTTTCAGAGGACTGTTTCTTCCTGTTTCCCCTTAGTACAGATGGCAGGAATCATAAAACAGAGCTATTCGGTGAAGGGCACCCTGCAGAGAGCCAGTGTCACTTAGTCTGGATATACTGATAGCTTTTTGTTCATCTGGACTAACTTACTTTAGAGCATCCAGAGACACAAGAAGGCTGCACATCCTTCAGGCATACTTAGTATTTCAGCTCTGAAAGGAAGGAGGCATGAGTTTCACAGGACAAGTGTAATCCATATTGCCGATTAAAAGTGAACCATGTATTTTAACCGTCTTCTGAGCTGAGGGTAAAGTGACATTCTCTTGAGAAAATTAAGGATCCTAACAAGATTATATATTTAAAAAGGAGGTCACCTTACTTCTGCTCAGTGGTGAATAAAGAATACTCTTGGTCAGGGTCAAGATTCTCCTTTGAAAACTAGTATCCTGAATGTAGTCAATGAATAGATATAATACACAATCAAGGTCCATATTTCTGTTTCATAGTAGGGTCAAATGTTAGTGTGAAAAAAATAAGTGTAACTGACGATGATATCTCAACTTACACATACCCAATTCCCAAAACAACACTCAAAGAAAGAGATTTTAGCAATGCTACTTTCTACACTCTTTGAGAGAAACTATTTAAGAATTATATGTCAAAGTAACTGAGTTATGTGACTTATTATATGAGATTATTAAAAGTTAAAAGTTGGGGAATATCATCTACCAAAAACAATAATTTTGGTTTTAGAATATGTGAGCCAGTTTTTTCGATCACTACTTAAATCAGCAGTCAGTACACTACGGCCAGCCAGCCACCTGTCTGGTTTCACAGATGAAGTTCTGCTGGAACACAGCCCCACCCACCCGTGTACACGCTGCCTTTGGTGGCGTCTGCTCTACAATGGCAGAGCTGAGTAGCTGCAACTGAAACTGTATGGTTCACAAAACCTAAAATATTTACTATCTGGCCTTTTATAGAAAGGTCTGCCAACTTCTGCTCAGACAGCAGTAAAACTTCCAGATTGTGATAACAAAATTAAAAAACTAGCATGTAAAACAACACTGGCCTATTTGCCATAGCCATAGGATTTGTACCCAGCTCATCTAAGAAAGGTTTAGATTTTTAAAGAATAAGTTTAAAACTAGAAGAGTCAGAACACATCCCTGTTTTACTATACTGTGTGTTCTTAATTAACTTATCAAGAGACCACAATTATCATTTAATTCTCCCCAAAAGAATTTGAGCATGTAGTCTCTCCACAAGTCTCAAGTGTCAGTGGCCTATAAGGCTCAGCACTGATTCCTGACAACAGAGAAAAATGCCATTTTATTTATTTTTTAAAAAAGGGTAGCTATACAAAGTGTAATATAGTCATATCTTTTACACATTTGACAAAAGTAACTTATTCTAATTTATGAAAGAAATTTAATAGACAATAAAATAATCTCTGTGAATGTATGTGTAAAAATGATCTTAGAGCTTGTTTTTCATGGATGTAGACCTACTGGTACAAGACTAAAAGCTGCATTAGATGAGTGGCTGAAAGCTTCCCCTTAAGTTGCTGTGCAGTAAATAGTGCTTTTTAAGACCACTGGAGACTTCTGCAAGATACACACGTCCATCCAGCACAATGGCACCACAGCTGTGTTGTCTGGCTTTAGACAGCCCATTGGAATTATGTCCGAATATGCCACACAGGGAGCCTCATCAAATTTGTTTCTCCAAATGCACATATTTGAGAATGTGGGACTTGTTTTCATTGACTGTAAAAGTGCAACAAGTCCTTATCTGTGTTGTTGCTGACTATTGACAATGCTTTAAGATTCCTGTAGTGTGCCTGGCCGGTGTGGCTCAGTGGCTGAGTGTTGACCCATGCACCAAGAGGTCACCAGTTTGATTCCCGGTCAGGGCACATGCCCAGGTTGTGGGCCCAATCCCCAGTGGGGGGCATGTAGGAGGTGGCCAATCGATGTTCTCTCTTATCAAGGTTTCTATTTCTCTCACCCTCTCCCTTCTTCTCTCTCTAAAAAATAAATAAACAGAAAAAACTTAAAAAAAAAAAAAAGAAAAAGACTCCTGTTGTGTGAAGCAAGAGTTTCACTGAGATTCTCTGCTTCTGCGTTTTCTATTCTGTTAAAGGAAGATCTGTTACTTCCAGGGTAGGATTGCTTTTCAGTACATCAGTGAAAAACACCATTCCTTCACGAGTTATTTTATTGCAGCTGACATCATGGTAGCGCAGGCTTTTGTTTAGGTAACAACCGTGCATCACATAATTGTTTCAGACCATAACTTCTTATAGCATGCTTACTCGTGGGTAGTTCAACAAGGTAGTGATTTTCTTTTAATATAGGGCCTAGATGAACTGTGGACTCTTCCTGTTCACCATACAATATAAGCTGGATTACGTTTATTATTTTAATTGTTTGATTTTGAGTTAGGTCTGCAGCAAGTGCTATCATACTTTGCATTCTCAGATCATAGTTACCCAGATCTAACTTCTCTAAGGATGAATTAATTTGTAGTATTGTAGCAAAGAACATTCCACCTTTATTTTCAATCTGTTTTCCAGTCATTTGCTTTGTTTTACAGATTTTGAGAGAGAGAGAGAGAAAGAGAGGCATATCGATGTGAGAGCACAACATTGATCAGCTGCCTCCTGTATGACCCCTACCAAGGATCGAGCCCACAACGTGGGCATGTGCCCTGACTGGGAATTGAACTGGCCACCTTTCAGTGCATGGGATGATGCTCAACCAACTGAGACGCACTAGCCAGGGCTTATTATCCTTAAGTGTTTCAGAGTTGTATTCTTATGTAGTGCTTTAGCGATCAATTCTCCACCTTTGGACCCAATATCATTATAAGATTTAAGGAAATGAGACTGTATTGTTTCTGAAGCAGTTTTGCAGCATTGTGTGCATCAACATCACTTAGGAGGTGACAGCTAATATATGGATTCTTCTCTAAAATTCTTAAAAGAATCCAAAAATCTTCACCTATGGCTTTTTCCACTTGCATTAAGTGATAGTTACCCGCAATGTTTAATGTAATTCCTTCCAATACCTTTTCAATTTCTTCATCCACTCCATGGAGTATTTTTGCAAGATAAAGATTAATTTTCTGGGACTTTTCTATACATAGATTATGATGATGTTCCTGGAAACTACCCATAGGTTCTGGAGTTCATTCACTTGCTCTGAGCTCCAATGCTGGGGCAGCAGCTCAGAAGGCTCTAGGGACTTATGGGAAGGACTTAAATTGTCTGACATCAGGGTGAGGACTGGAGGGGCAGCTTTCTTCCAGACAGAAGCACTGGCAGAGGCCGTTGTTCCTTTGCTGAGCCCTGCCGTTTTATTTTTAAAATATATCTTCATGTGATAAAAAAGCACACAAAAAATCTACATAGAATAGCTGATGTACTCTACACACAAACATTGGCCTAAAAAACTAAAACCAAAGCCAAAACAACGTGCCCCCCACAAAACTTTGCAGTTTAACAAGGAAGAAATATTTTGGGTAGATTATTTAGTAAACTAACAGGTATGTTATTGAGGTAGTGGGGGGCACGACAGGAGTCTTTAAAAATGATCCTTAAAGAACACTCTAATTTCAATCAGACTTGACTATGCCTGTGAAATCAACAAAGTTAATGAAGTTAGTAAGAACTAGAGTTTAGTCTTCAAAGAAGCCTTTAACTTTGAGGAATTCCGACCTTTTCAGGTAGAGATTTTTCAATCAGCAGAACAATATGGAGGGCCACTACTGGAATTCAGTCAGAGAATAGCTTGAGAAAAATAAAAATTCTAGGACTGAAGGCTCTTAGGAACTCACTCAGTTAGTATTTCAGAGCTAATGGTCAGACTCTTTTTCCTGCTATTTCACAATCTTTGTCAGTTACTAGGTGGTTGGAACCCATATTTGGTGTTAGTATTGTAGTACCGAGACTAAACTAACCACATGGTGAGTTTTTTCAGCTCTGGCATTCAAGAAAGTCTCCTAATGCAAAGAAAGTCACACAGGCTCTTCAAGAGGAGAGCTAACTAACATCCTTCCTCACCTGCTATTCAGTACTCCTAAGATTTCAAAGATGATGAGCTCAAACATGGTGCAAGAAAACGCGAAAGTCACGGAGAAGATCACCTGTACAACATACTGACGGACCTGTCAAAAGCCAAACAGAGATTGAGTCATTTTCTTGTTTGAGACATCTTCTGCTTACAAGTCAGAAAACTTATTTTGGAGACATTCTCAAGTCATCAGAAAGAGGGCCACAAAAGTAACTTGCCTGGAGCTAAAGAAATAGATGAAAGTAGATAATGGGAATGCAGATTGGTGCAGCCACTCTGGAAAACAATGTGGAGTTTCCTCAAAAAATTAAAAATAGAACTGCCTTTTGACCCAGTGATCCCACTTCTGGGAATATATCCGAAGAAACCCAAAACACTAATTCGAAAGAATATGTGTACTCCTATGTTCATTGCAGCACTATTTATAATAGCCAAGATTTGGAAGGATCCCAAGTGCTCATCAGTAGATGAGTGGATAAAACAACTGTGGTACAGCCTTGGCTGGTTTGGCTCAGTGTTAGAGCATCGGCCCGTGGACCAATGAGTCTCGGGTTCCATTCCAGCCAAGGGCATGTACCTCAGTTGCAGTTCGTCCCCATCCCTGGTTGGGGTCGTGTGGGAGGCAACCAGTTGATGTGTCCCTCTCACATTGATGTTTCTCTCTCTCTCTCTCTCTCTCTCTCTCTCTCTCTCTCTCTCCCCTCCCCTTCTTCTCTCTCCCTCTATCTCCCTCCCACTCTATCTGAAGATAAATAGAAAAATATCCTTGTGTAAGGATTAAAAACAACAACAACTGTGATACATTTACATAATGGAGTACTAGGCAGCCATTAAAAGAAGGAAATCTTACCTTTTGCAATAGCATGGATGGACATAGAGGGTATTATACTAAGTGAAATAAGTCAGTCAGAGAAAAACAAATACCATATGATTTCACTTATATGTGGGATCTAATGAACAAAATAAATAAACAAACAAATAGAAACAGATTCATAGATACAGAGAACAGACTGACAGCTGTCAGAGCAGAGAGGGGCTGGGGGGCCTGATGAAATAGGTAAAGGATTAAGCAAAAAAAAAAAAAAAAAAAAACCCACCAAAAAACAACCCTCATAGATATAGACAACAGTATGGTGATTACCAGAAGAAAAAGGGGGAGGAGGTAGAAGAGGGATAAACAGTGATAGAAGGAAACTAGACTTTGGGTGGTGAACACACAATACAATATACAGATGATGTATTATAGAATTGTACACTTGAAACCTATATAATTTTATTAACCAACATGACCCCAATAAATTCAATAAAAATATATTAAAAAATAAAATAGAAATTTAAAAAAAGAGAAAGTTGGTAGTACTTCTGAATCATGGGTCACTATTACTATCACCCTCTTATGGATGGAGAATTTAAGGCACAAGAAAATGAAGTGACAAGGTCATAAATAGCACTTAGAATTTCTGATGCACACTGACAATAAAAATGGCAGATTTGTACATATAGGTGAGAGCTAACAGGGTTTCTTCAATACTCTGCAGACCTTGGACCAGTTCTAGAGTCTCCCCTCGCAGGTCTCAAAGTGTTGAGCAGAACAGAAGCTCCAGAGTCCCAGGCTCTTTCAGATAGCAGCCCAATCTCATTAGGGAGGGTTAATGGAGAATCTCCTAGAAATGATCTCAAAGTCCTTTATAACCACTGAGCTTTTACTAAACGAGGATTAATTAGGAAAAGTCTAGTCGAGGTTGGTATTTTTCTGAATTCAAGGTTTAACATAAGAATTAGACCAGCCTTAGGAATTTGGTAATTTCGGATGTAAGATTGGCCATTAACATTGAAGGTCAGATACCCAAATGAACAGGAACATTTATGAGACATTATAAGTTAAATTCTCTCCCCCAAAAAAAACTATTTGCTATTGGTGTGCATACTGATGTAACCAAGGCATGACATTTCTTGTTCCTGGCTTCTTGGCTACACACATGACCTGCTTAAAAAAAAATCTACTAAGCCTAATCATATTCTCCAAGTTAAGACTTATAGCCTCAGAAATGGCAACCTGGTAATTTAAACAAGTAAAACACAAAAATAATCAAACTGAGGGTGGGGGTGAGGAAAGAATTACATAGGACTCATTTGACAAAAACTTCCTATCTTGGAAATGAACATGACCTTTCTTTAATGGAATTATTCTCTGTGCCCATTTTAAAACGATTTAAATTCACACAATATTAGCATCATCAAAATGATCTCTTCTCACCTCATAGTCCTTAAACAGTTGGCGCATGAAGAAAAGCCACCCAAATCCAAAGAAAAATATCTAAAGGAGAAAAGAGAGAAAGTCAATATACATAATCTTTTGATAAATGCCTTATATAGAGTATTTTATGATAAAAGATCTGCTAACTAGATAGTTTATTTCAGACATTAAAGATGAGATCTACTATTAAAATCCTCAGGATTGGGAGATATTAAACTACTCTTCAATCTTTGAAATTAATTGTTTTAGAACGTGTTTTAAGTTAGACAGAAATGAAAGTATATGTTTTTCCTGTAATCCTTTTATAAGCCAGAAAACTTAGTAAATAAAAAAGGAGTCAGTGAAACTTGCTTTCTTACAGATGATACCTGTTTGCAAGTATTTAAAACAAAACAAAACAACTTCATGGGAAAGAAGTTAAGATTAAAACAAAAAAAAAAGAAAAGCAGTAGAAAGAGTGATATTTTTTATGTTTTCCTTCACGGGGCTTTCTCAGCTTTTCTACCATCCCTCCTAGCCCAGATAAGGTGCTTTCCATCTCAGTGTAAAGCCCAGAGACTGCACGATCCCACTTGCCAGTTTGGTTCAGCCTGGCATCAGAGGCAGGAGCCACATGACAGGTGTTCAGGGTTCTAGAGCTGGTTTGTTTTTCACTAGTAAACAGAACCTTCTTCCTATGTACACACACACACACTTACTCTGGCACAACTCCTCTTTTCTTACATTAGCTAGGAACTTTACTGAAGAACACAATTCTTAATGCCTTCCCACTGACGAGAGGAGCAAGTGTGCGCTCTTGAGCAGTTTGGCAGACACCTCCTCCTCCTGCGGCGTCCTTCCCACCCCCCAAAGCCATATTTTCAGGCACATGGAACTGCCTTTGGTTCTTTAGACACAACATTGTTATATCAAGACCTCTGCAGATGTCCTCTAACAGAAACTTCTCTTTAGTCCCCTCCATTTATCCTACAGTTCTTAACATACCTCTGGAAGGCCTTCTCTGACTTTCCAAACAAAAATAAGTTGCTTTTTTTATACAATCCCTATTCTACCTTTACTTCCCTTATCAAAGCACTTACCACACACGTTTTTTGTTTGTTTGTTAATCCTCACCTGAGGATATTTTTCCATTGATTTTTAGATAGAGTGGAAGGGAGGGAGGGAAAGAGAGAGAAAGAGAGCGAAACATCAATGTAAGAAAGACAAATCGATCGGTTGCCTCCCACACAACCCTGACTGGGGCCAGGGATCAAATCTGCAACCTTTGAGTCCGCAGGTCGATGCTCTAACCACTGAGCCAAACCAGAAAGGGCCCACATGCTTTTTAAATGTCTAATTTAAACACATACATTTTTTTTTTTTTTTTTATCCTCATCCGAGGACATTTTTCGATATTTTGTTCAGATAGAGTGAGAGGGAGAGAGAGAGAGAGAAACATCGACGTGAAAGCGACACATCGAGTGGTTGCCACCCACACGACCCAACCAGGGCTGGGGACAAACTGCAACCAAGGTACGTGCCCTTAGCGGAAACCGAACCCGGGTCTCTCAGGACCGCAGGCCGACGCTCTAACCGCTGAGCCAAACCGGCCAGGGCTAAACACATACATTTTTATTCAATATCCCTTTATGATAAAAACTCTCAACAAAACATCAATACCAAACTAAAAAGTTTTTGCACAGCAAAGGAAATTATCAACAACAAAAAAAGACAGCCTACTGAATGGGATAGGAAATTTGCAAGGGAGATCTCCAATTGGGGGTTAATATTAAAAATGTATAAGGAACTCATAACATCTAATACCAAAAAACATCAAACAATCCAATTAAAAACATCAGACAACCCAAACAGATACTTCTTCCAACAGAACACAGAGGCCAACAGACATATGAAAACATGCCCAATGTCAGTAATCATCAGAGAAATGCAAATTAAAACCACAATAAGATATAACCTCATAGCTGTCAGAATGGCTATCTTCAATACATCAACAAGTGCTGGTGAGGATGTGGAAAAAAGGGAACCCTCAGGTGCACTGGTGGGATTGTAAATCGGTGTAGCCGCTATGGAAAATAGTATGGAGACTCCTCAAAAAATTAAAAATGGAGCTGCCATATGACCCATCATTTCACTTCTTGGTATTTATCCAAAGAAAACAAAAACATTAATTCTAAAAGATACGTGCACTCCTATGTTCATTGTAACATTACTAATAATAGCCAAAATATGGAAGTAACCTAGGTATCCATCAATAGATAACTGGATAAGGAAGATGTGACACACACACACACACACACACACACACACACTACTCAACAATAAAAAGAACGAAATCTTGCCTTTTGCAATAACATGGATGGACCTAATGGGTATTATGCTAAGTGAGAAAAGTCAGACAGAAAGACAAATAGCATATGATTTCACTTTCATGTGGAATCTAAACAAAACAAAACAAATGAACAAACAAAAGAAAACAGAAACAGACCCATAGATACAGAGAACAAGCTGGTGGTTGCCAAAGGGGAGGGAAGAGCGGGGATGGGAGAAATTAAAAACCAAACAAACACTTATTTATGATAAAGTTGTATAAGTTAAAGAAATAATAATAATAAAAAAAGACAAATAGTAAATGTGCCTGGCACACACTAAGTACCCAATAGATGTTGCTGTTAATATTCTTGCTACTTTTACTCCAGGATATTGAGGCACAAACCTTGAATAGGGAAAGGGGGAGTAAAAAACACACCAAAAGCTGTAGGAAATTTCAGCCAACTACAAAATGACTAGAAAAAACACAGAAAAAAGGACTACCAGCAAGGGTAAAATTTTAAAAATGTAAAGCCACACCTAAAACAAATTCAGAAATATGTAAAAATAAGCCATGACAACTTAGAACTAATATAATTAAAAAATGCCTGGATAAACAGAAGGAGAGAGAGAGAAGATATAAAGTAGCTCAAGTATATTAACTTATCTTTCATAACCTGAGTCCAAAGAATATTAAAACTGATAAGTCAACTAACAGATGTTAAAGGACATTTAAGGATGTAAAGTTATATAAAGATACGTAAAGGTACAAAGGATATTTAACCAGAGAGAGAAATACTAGAACTAAAACCATAGAATATAATTGCAGAAGTTAGTCATATTCTAAAAGAGGAGAGGAACTGCAGGGGACGTGGAAAGAGGTGGAAGCGTACTAACTCTTTTATTGCTCAAAGTGAAAATTAAGTACACACACACACACACACTTTTACGGACATGAGACTGTAAATTCTGTGAAGGCAAGGGTCATGTTTGTCTTGTCAATCCTCAGTACCTACCCAGCGTGAAAAGCCTGGCACATAGGAGGCTCTCTATACATTTTTGCTAAATGCTGGTTTGTTCTTTAGGAATACTCAACTTTAATTTTGTGTATGTAATACTTTCTATGTGCTGTGCTAGGTGCTGGGGATACAAAGACGAGTAAGATCATCATCACCCTCAAGGAGCTCAAAGTACAGTGGTAACGACACACTACATAAATAATTTTTTGTTGTTAATTCTTATCCGAGGATATTTTTCCATAATTTTTTAGATAGACTGGGAGGGAGCGAGGAGAGAGAAACACTGATGTGAGAGAGAAACATCAATTGCTTGCCTCCCAGGTACATGCCCTTGATTGGAAAATGAACCCGTGTCCCTTCGGTATGTGTGCCAAAGTTTTAACCGCTGATCCAAACTGGCTAGGGCACTAAGTAATTTTAATGTAATATGGGACATGCAATGAGTGAAATATGCACATGATATTGTAAAATAATATGAAAAAGGGAGACCAAAAATCTGTAGTGAGTTAGGACAGATTTTTCTGGAGCAGATAATACCTTAGCTGAAGGAGGTTTTAATTTGGGTTTTAAACCTGATATTGTGTGCAAATTTGGGGATTATATGTATTTTCTCCAAAGAGAGGTTCTAAGGTATTCACCATATACTCAAAGGTTTCCATCACTCCTAAAATATTAAAAAACCACTCTGCTAAAGGATGAAAAAGGATTAGGCAGACAGGCAGGTAAAATAAAAAACCCAAGAAACAGGTGGAGGGGGTAGGAGGTCAAGGTTTTCTTTCCAGAGAGCAAAGAGCATGATTAAAGGCACAGAGGTTAGAAATAGTACAGTATAGACTGGGAACTACACATGGTTTCGCACAGCTGGAAGACAAAATTCAAAGAAAGAAGTGGCTAAAAATGAGGCTAGAGAGGAGGATCAGAAGACCAATGGCTGAGAGTCCTGAAGGCTACCCTAAGGATCTTGGATTATAGTCTGGAGGTGATGAGGAGTCATTTAAGTGGGGAAGAGACATGGCTGGGTTTATTTTATATGGAGCACTATGGTGGCCACACCGAGGCATTTGAAAGAAACAACACTGTACAAAGAGAAACATTATAGAAGGTTGTTACAGATGAGAGATGATAAAGGCCTGAACTGAGACACTGGTGGGGAGGAGGCAACCGATTTAAATAGTACTTAGAAAGCTATAGAGTAGCCTTGGTTGGTTTGGCTCAGCAGTTAGAGCACTGACCTGCGAACCAAAGAGTCCTCAGTTCGGTTCCCGTTAAGGGTACGTTACCTTGGTTGCAGTTTGTCCCCGGCCCGGCTGGGGTCATGTGGGTGGCAGCCACTTATGTGACTCTCTTGCATTGATGTTTTTCTCTCTCTCTCCCCCCTCTCTGCATCCCACTCTTTCTGAAGATCAATGCAAAAATGTCATTGGGTGAGGATAAGAAAAAGAAAGAAAGCCGTAGAGTGGGAGGATAAACAGACATGAAAAAGAACCGATGGAACACACTAATTTATCATTATTAGCAGCTACTCTTTATTGACCATTTACTATATTCCAGGAACTTTGAGTGCTCAATTCTGTTATGTCATTAAATCAGAAAAATCCGATAAGATAGGTTTGATTGTCCTCATTTCATAGAAAGTTGGGGCTTACAGAAGTTAATCCATTTACACTAAGTGTTAGGATCAAGATTCAATCTGAAGTCTGTGGGACAGATTCTAAAAGCTTGTGCTTTTAACCA